AAAGGAGGATTTGGGGCTCATTAGGGATTTAATTATGCTTGAAAACTTTATACTAGCTACTATAATGTGGTTATAGTTGAGAATTACCTTCACAGGAGGTACGAGCCATAGGAAGAGAGACTGGGAAGTGTTTTGCTTTTATAAAACATACTGGTCAAAGCTTGGGCATTGTACTCAGATGGACCAGTGTTCTTGGATATATTTCCCAAGAATTTTGGGGCTTTATTTCCTCATCTGTGAAATGGGGATAATAGAGGTTCACTGTTAGGCACTAAAAGGTGGTTATGATGAGCTAATTCAGGGGTGGGCAAACTTTTTGACTCGAGGGCCACATTGGGTTCTTAAACTGGACCGGAGGGCCGGAACAAAAGCATGGATGGAGTGTTTGTGTGAACTAATATAAATTCAAAGTAAACATCATTACATAAAAGGGTACGGTCTTTTTTTTTTTTTTTTTTTAGTTTTATTCATTTCAAATGGGCCGGATCCGGCCCGTGGGCCGTAGTTTGCCCACGGCTGAGCTAATCAATATAAGCCAAGTCCTTGGCTTAGTTTCAGACACACAGTAAATGTTAAGTAAATATTAGCTATGATGACATTACATATTACTTTTACTTAAAGCATCGTTAAACATCTTTAACTGGAGAATCATTAGTTATTGAGCCAGATTTGAGCGAATGCTTCCTGACACCTAATACCAACCTGTCTAGGCTGCACAAAGGTAGGCCAGGGGCCACGATGGGGGAAAAGGTCCCGCACAGGTCAGAGTTTCGGAATTCCCCCTCCAGCTCCCAGCTTCACCAGCCTGGGTAGGTTTGGCCAACGGGTGTAACACCTCTGGGCTTGGTGTCCTTGCTGCCGGTGGGATGGCAGTGCTTCCCCTGTATTCCTGGCAGTTACTGGGAGGAGTTGGTGCACGCCTGGGGTTGAAAGCGCTAACATACTGTGCCTCTTTGAGGATTTGGTTTTACTCTAGGTCTCATTTTGCTGCAGCCATGACCTAATTCCAACCACAAGTTTGTTGTTTTATTCATTTGCACCTATCCTATATAATCCTATATAATAAAAGGCTAATATGCAAATCAACTGAATGGCAGAACAACCGGTCGCTATGACATGCACTCACCACCATGGGGCAGACACTCAACGCAGGAGCTGCCCCCTGGTGGTCAGTGCGCTCTCACAGGGGGAGCACCACTCAGCCAGAAGCCGGCCTCACGGCTGGTGAGCGCAGCTGTGGTGGTGGGAGCCTCTCCCGCCTCTGTGGTAGCACTAAGGATGTCCAACTGTCGGACATCCCCCGAGGGCTCCTGGACTGCTAGAGGGCACAGGCCAGGTTGAGGGACCATCCTCCCCCCCCCCTCCGAGTGCACAAATTTCATGCACTGGACCTCTAGTTTTAATATAATCCACATTTTTTCCCAACAAATATGCAATAAATACCCTCATTTTATATTACCCCCTTGAAGTCTTAAGCCTGTTCTTTACATCCTGTTGTAGCTCAGAGATTTTACTTTTCTAAGATGCAGGGTCCTCACCGTCTCCCCCTGCCCCCCTCACCTTCTAAGGGAAAGGTGTAATAAGGTGGGGCCTGGAAGCTGGTGGGCATGAAGTTATACCTAGTCATAATGATTGAGTCTTGATCAAAATTAAGGCGTTTTAAGTGCTATTAAGTAAATGTCCAAGCCCCTTCCCTGCTGATCTCTAGTCCCTAAATCACACTGTGAGCATTTGGAATGGGTGCTCTCTCTCCAGGGCTGCTATGGTTTTCCTTATAACAAACCACACGGGAAAAGCAGAAAGGAAGAGATGTGGGGATCTAGCATTCACGGACCAGCAGGGGCCCTGTAGGGTCTGCTTTCTCCACCTGCTGTACAAGGTGGCAGGGGGCTCCATGTGGATGGGCTCCTCCTCCTGGGATCCAAGCCTATCTCCCATCCTTCTTAACTGGAAGGTGTTTTGTGCAGAAAGCTGGCTGTCTGCCCCGAAACTTCACTAATCTTGTCTTGGACACCACTTGCTGTCGTCTGCTTCATGGAGGGAATAAATGTTTTATACAGAGGTTTCTGGGTCTCAGCAGCAGGTCTAATATCTGAGCAGATGTGTACATGCCTGGAAATAGAGATAAGCAGCTGCAGAAAGGGGATTATGAAAGTGCCAGTTAAGAGAAAAATGCGCTTTTGTCATCGAGGACACAGGAGTGGGTCTTAAGCAGAAATATTTTGTAAAATAAGAATGGCTCACTTTCAACCCATGTTCTTATAATTATTTAAATATTGAAAGACATAGTGACTGCATTATAAAAGGTTTGAACTGAGAATAAAAAAGATGTAACGGTTGGCTTGCTCTTTTATGCATTTCATCAGAACCATCTATTACTCTTTTTTAGTTTCTTGAAGCCTTAACCAGTTTCGGTTCACCTCTACTCTTGATTTTTTGAGCAGTTTAGGATTAAAAAAACAAGAAGATTTAGGTTTGAAAATGAGAATACATGTCTTTCCTAAGATCATGGAGCTGGGAATACTGTATGTATACCAGGAAAGCTCACCAGTGTAAAATCTTGAGTCAAGGAGGCTTCGAAAAATCTGTGGGTTCCCACTAACTTGGGCAGAGAAGGGAAAGAGTAAGCACTCGGTCTGCACCTTTTCATTTCTTCCTCAGTTTACTTTTCCTAAGCGGTGGAAGCAGTTGGGATTTTGAGGTGAGGTGGGGAGTGAGGGAAGACACGGTACCTGGCAAGTACATGGTCTTTGAAGTCATAATGGCCCCTAGGGTCAAGGGCATCCTTTTCTGATTTACCAGCTGTGTGACCTTGAGGAACTTAAGTAACCTCTCTGGGCTTTAGTATCTGCATTTGTAAAATAGCCTTCATAGGATTTTGGGGTTGATTAAATGAGAAAAAAAAATATTTTCAACACTCCTAAGTGCAGATAACACCATTATTGTTTTCTTCCTGCCTTCTCATTTACCCATCAAAGATTCCGATTCAGTGGATGAGAAAAACTATTTTTAGTGGGCACCAAATAGAGTGCTGATGGTCCTCAGACCACACCTGGGGAAGGGATGTTCTTAAAGCACGAGTAGGACTTTGGGCGTCAAGGGAGAGGCAGGGCTGCCACTTGCATGCACACACACAACTCCAGGGGGTACCCCAACATCATAGTACATGTCCATGGAGCACCCAGAGTTGGGGTGCATGGCCTGCAAGGCCGCAGGCAATGACCCTCCAGGGCTTCACAGAGAGGTGTGTGTGAGAGAGTGTGGGCTATGCAGGGTGTGCTTGGGACACTGAAGATCTTTCTCTCGGAGGGAGCAGGCAGGTGGAGACGGGGCATGTGGGGTCCTTCGTGCCATGCCAACGGACTTAGGGAGCGGTGAGGGGCCACAGACGGGTATAAGCAAAGCCAGGATTATAACATGCTGATGGTCACCTGAGGGACGAGCCAAGGGAGAGACTGCAGGCAGACATGATCATTAGGAGGAACTTATCATCAACCAACCAGGTGAGAGCCAATGAGAGAGGGAGGGAGAAAGAGGGCTTGAACGGAGGCCGAAACAGTGTATGTGGGAGGGGGGCAGATATGAGGAGGCTCAGTTGACCCAGGTCCCAGGCACCTGGAACTCAGAGAAGAGGCCCGAGAAGGAGGTGAAGATTTGGGACCTGAAGCCTTGGTGTGAAGGTGAGCTCCGAGGCAGTGAGGAGCGGTAAGAGGAGGGTGCACAGTGTGATTTTGGGTCACATCAGTCCTCAGGAGGCTGGAGCCGACGGAGCCGGGAGATAAGAGAGGAGAGGCCCCTGAAACAGGGGAGGTGGGAGCAGACCAGGTGAGGGGTCTGGATGCCATGGGAGGAGCCTGCTACCTGCTTCATCTAAAGAGAATGAGGTCACCAAGCCCACTGGGTCTGCTGGGCAGTGGTCATTGGTGGCTCCAGCAAGAGTGGTTTTGCTCACATGGGAGAGAATGGAGAGTGGGAACGTGGAAACCCAGTTCTTATGTGAATTGGCTGGAGAAGGGCAGAGAGGTTCAGGCAGTGGTGAGGATGGCACTGACACGCACTGACCATCAGGGGGCAGACACTCAATGCAGGAGCTGCCCCCTAGTGGTCATTGCGCTCCCATAGGGGGAGTGCCACTCACCCAGAAGCTGGGCTTATTGCTGTTGGACATCCCTTGAGGGCTCCTGGACTGCTAGAGGGCACAGGCCACGCTGAGGGACCACCCCTCCGCCCCCTCCACTGAGTGCACGAATTTCGTGCACCGGGCCTCTAGTTTTAATATAATTCACATGCAATAAATACCCTCATTTTATAATACCCCCTTGAAGTCTTAAGCCTGTTCTTGAAATCCTTTGGGATTTTACTGTTCCAATGTGCAGGGTCCTCACCCTCTCCCCCCTAGAGAGCAGGGGGACTGGGAGAGGAGGGGGGCCTGGGAGAGCAGGGGGACTGGGAGAGGAGGAGGATCCAGGAGAGCAGGAGGATCCAGGAGAGGAGGGGACCTGGGAGAGGAGGGGGATCCAGGAGAGCAGGAGGATCCAGGAGAGGAGGGGACCTGGGAGAGCAGGGGGACCGGGAGAGGAGGGGACCTGGGAGAGCAGGGGGACCGGGAGAGGAAGAGGACCCGGGAGAGGCTCTCAAAGGAGCCAGGTGAGGGCTGGAGGCCAGTGCAGGATGGGTAGTTAGGATTGGGTTACGGGAAACATGATCAAGAAGGCTGATGGCTGGGCATGGACATGGCAGTGCTGTGAACCAGGAAGGTGTGCTGGCTCCGGGGGTGGACCAGGACAAGGGCACGCTGGGTAAGCCGCCTGTGTTCGTGCGGTTTGGAGTCAGGCCATGGAGATTGAGAGGGGCAGGAAGAGGATTGAGCAGGGAGAGAGTTCTTTCGTCTGCAACATTTCTGGAGAAACATAATACAGTGGTCATTTTGAAGGTTTTCATAATGATTGTGTATAAAATTAGTATCAGTCTATAAAACTATTTCTCTTTTCTTGTTTTAGTGATGATCGCAGTGTCTCTTCAGAAGAAAAAGGTATGGTACCTCTAAGTCAGTGCTATTGAAAAACTGTATGAAACATTTGCAGTTTTAGAAAATGATTTCTTTATTGATTTTACTTACTGGCTGCAATTGCTGTGTTATGTTCATGCATTCACTGACTTATGGAAGTGTACTAAGATAATCATTCGGTTAGGATGATAGGATATGATTTTTCTTTAGAATTTTAAGATTATTTTTCAACTGATATTTAAAAGGGTGAAATGTAAAGAACTTGGGCCTTTGTAACTTTTCGCAAGTTGATGGTAGGACGTAAATGCTCTTATTATAATACCCCACTCCTTTCAAACTCTGGGTCTAATGGTCTTTTTAACGTTAGTTTAAATTCAATAATGTTAAGTATTGGATGCAACTGGGAAGAATTGGCATTCAAGTTTAAATTCAATGACGACGTAGTAGCCACTGAATTCTATAAATTTTCCATACATAAAAACTAGGTGTTATCTGTAATACTTGAGTGTGATCATCAGTTTTATACACTTAGTGAAACAGCAACACAATTCTCTCCCTGATTCTGGGTCAAATCAGAACTCTCGAATTAAAGGACTGAACTAGGCCTGCTCCTGGGTTTGGTGGGACTGCTGAGGATCGAGTCCTCTCTCGACGTGTGCTGTGTTTTGAGAGTCTGTAAATCGTGTGCGGGCTGTAGTTCTTGCTTTGGCCTCTGGCCCACGCTGCATGGCTGAGAGCCATTCTGGAGGAGGGTCCCGAGGCCGCTAGAGGTGTTAGTCTGTGTCACTCAACCGCGGACCAACTTGGAAACTCCTTAGTCCATCCTTGGGCCCCTGTCTTACTTTTGCAAGTTCTGTTTCCATCTGGTGGCTCATTTTTTTCAGTGCAGAGCAATCACCTGCCTAATAAAAGTATCACGATTACAATCTGATAAAGGTTTGTGCAGCGTTTGGCTGGAGTGTGCAGTGCATGGGGATGCCAGGCATCTGTCAAGACTGTGGTCAGACCTGGCGGCTCTCCTGCTTCCCAGCGCTGACATGAACCTCCCACCCGCATACATGCCACCCCCACCCCCTCCCCCACCCCAGCTTTGCGTTTGCCCATTTCTGCCTGCCTGAGGTGCCTCCTCCCTCCCCTCACATTTCCCCGCCAAGACTTGTGTCTGCTCACCCAGATTCATGAACTTCTGCTTTTTAACGTGATTGGTCTCAGTTTCTCTCTTGGACCAACAAAACACTGGCCTAATTTCGTATAGTATTGTTGTGATTTCTTGCAGTGGTTTGTCCAATGCACAGCTACTCCTGCCCTCATGGCTGCGTTGGCCCATCAGCTGTTTTCTGGGGCATGGATTTTCTCCTCATTTTTGCCGAGTGCCCACCCCGCAGTAGGCGCTAAGTCCATGTTTATAAAATTGAGGGGGACAGTAGTCTCGGCCCAAGCCCAAGGGGATTCGTTAACCCATAGTTACTAGTAAGCTGCTGTGTTCACCGGCCCAGTGCGGATGCCTGTGCGGGGTACAGGGGGCATGAGAGGCTGCTAGGTCCCATTCTCTGGGGCAGCCTAATTGAGCGTGGCATAAATACAGGCACGGGCATGATAACTGAGGGGCAGTCCTTCCCTACACAGACATGTTCTGGCTTCATTTAACATTGGCGGTAACTTCTGCAACCCCCTTCTCCTCCATCACCTGCCATTTCTCCTTTCCCGCACCCACTCACCCTGGCCTCCGCTCTCGTCACTTCTTATCCGGATCTTTGCAGTGGCCTCCTAGGGTGAGGCTCCCGGGAGTCTGGTCCATCCTGAACATCAGTGTCCCCCAATAGCCACCACCTCGGGGACCGCCAGGGCCAGTCTGAAGCTCTTATGTCGTCTGTGCCTCCATGGCATTCCCTGTAGAACCATCAGGGATGCCCGTTCTTCCCAGTGGCATTCAAGGCCTTCTCCGGTCTGGTCTCCACATATCCTGCCAACTCCAGAGCCTTAGCTTCAACCCATTTGTGTCATTTCACTAAATCGTTGACAGTCCTTCTCCTGGGGACCATCGTCTGTCTTTCAGTGACAAAATCTAAAACCAGGTGCTGTTTCTTTCTGGTGTCAAGTTACTTAATTGCCAGGAATGTTTTTAGGGAGCTGCTGAGCTGATCAGAGAAACAAATGCAGTTACTTTGGCACAAAACTCAGAGTTTACCATGGAACCAACCAAGTGTAAATCTCAAGTTTGTTGGCTTCCTGTTCTCTCTTTACTGGAAAAGGCTTAAGGTTTCTTGGACTATCTCTTTTTTCTCCTGAGACTATGACATCATTTGCATTAGTTTGACATGCAAGGTTGCTGTGGGTCTAAAGAGGTAATTCAGTTTGTAGTAGAGGGAGCTTCTACTATTATTGGCTTAGTGGCTTTTACAAAAAAAGAACATAACTTTTATTTTATGCTTGTATTTACACATTTCTTTCTTTCTCAAAATTTAGATTGCCCTAGTTCCAACCTAGATACGTCAAAGGACTCTAAATCAGGTAAAGGATCTGACTAATATTGGTAAATGCCCAAGTGAAATTTTTATACAATAACTAATTCATAGCAAGATAAATTACAGTTCATTTTTCTGATTCAATTCAAACAATCTGAGTGAAAGATGGGGACTTCCATTTTTCAACCTGAAAGAGTTGAATAAATTTTTAAACTTTTATGATTACCTGTTCTCGTGAAATCAGTTACTTTAAAGTTTGGTGATAAAGCTGTACTTAGTGGAACTGAGAATTTACCTAATGAGGCATTTAGGTCATTTTAAGACTGGCCACTTTAACTTAATACAGGGTCCCGAGGGAGTCCAGCCAGGTGGTGGGCACTTGGGCGGGGTAGTCCTGGGAGGCTTCCTGGAGGAGGTGATAAATTGGGGTAACAGGGCAAATGTGGGGAAGAGTTGTCCTAGTTCAAGAGACAGTGCTGCTTTTAGAGACTGAAGGTCAGATGGCTGGAAAGGAGGCTGAGAGTGGGGAGTGGGGCCTGGGGCTTTAGTAGTTGGGGGTGGGTGGTGGAGAGAGATGGGGGTGGATGGTGGAGAGAAGCCCAGAGGCAAGTGGAGGGCACTCAGAGAGGCTGGAGGAGAGCCAGGACAGGCTCCACGGGAAGGTCATGTGGGCAAGAGGAAGTGGTTGGTGTCTTTCCCTGCAGGTGCCATGGGCCTGGGGTTGAGCAGGCCTGTGGGTCATCGGGGAAAGGATCCCAAACTAGTTTTGGGAACAGAAGCCTGACTGCAGTGGGCGGAGGGGCTGAGTTGGGGGGTGAGGAAGTGACGGGGGCATTCTTGGGGCCCACTCCCATAGTGTCAACAACATGGACTAAATTTGTCCTGTGCTTCCGTGAAATGGCATCCACACTCCAGAATTCTGCACCGTCCTCATTGAACGTGCACCTGGGAACCTCCTAGATGTGCAAGTGCAGGGGCGAGATGGGCGCAGGAGGCAGGTCAAGGCCGGGCAGGACTCGGGTGACACCCATGTGCAACGACTACAGCCAGCCTGTGAGCTGCGCTCATGTTTAAACGGCTAACGTTTATTCTATCCATTTCCAGAGAAGCCTAAGCCCCCTTCGTGGTGGACTTGGGAAGTGACTGAAAGGAGAAATCAGTTGAGTTTGGACCTGTTTTTTAACAGAATAGTTACAGTGCTTCCCACTTCTTACTTGTTGTATTTGTGCTTCTGGCATGTGTTTTTATTAGGAGAGGACAGCAGCTCCGAGAGCAGTTCTGAAAGTGACTCCGGTAAGTGGGATGTGCATCTCTTTCTTTAATTCGGGCGAAGCACATGGCCCTTTATTTTTATTTTAAAGTCATACACGCACCTCTCATTGCTTCAGGACAGCGGTTCTCAACCTGTGGGTCGCGACCCCTTTGGCGGTCGCACGACCCTTTCACAGGGGTCGCCTAAGACCATCCTGCATATCAGATATTTACATGACGATTCAGAACAGTAGCAACGTTACAGTTATGAAGTAGCAACGAAAATAGTTTTATGGTTGGGTCACAACATGAGGAGCTGTATTTCAAGGGCCAGAAGGTTGAGAACCACTGCTTTAGGACATATTAATTTCTAGCGTGGTGGTTTTGTACAGTACCAAAAAAGTACTTACATGGGAAATAATTCTAGTTGGCAAGCGAAGTAGCAAGACAGGATGAGCTGAAGAAGAAAGGCAGGAAATGGTCGCTATTGGTGAAAGGCAAACATTTTACCTATTCTCCCATGAGCGTGGGTTTTCTCTTAGCTGGCATCTGAAGCTGACTTAGGCTTTTTTTTTTAATTTTTTTTTGTAGATAATGAGGAGCCAAAAACAAGTAAGTACATCCTTCCTCTGAATTTTCACGTTTGTTGTGGAAAGGAAGACAGAGAAGGTTATTAGCCCTCGGGGTTTTTAAGCGGCAAATGGTTTGTTCATGATCTTCTTCTGTGCAAAACTGAGTTGGACATGAAGCACCGTCTAAGCATTTTGAACATGGGAGCTCGTGTTCTCTGCACGGGCACCGACTGGGGTTCTGCTCTCACGGTTTCCCCGGGGAGAGAAGAATCAGGCCGAACCCGATATGCAGCGTGGCCACAGCGGTGCCGGCTTCCTTCCTGGAGGTCTCTGCTCAGGGAGGATCGCAGGGTAAACACGCTGCTGCCCAAAGCGCGGCGCCCCTTGTGGTCTGCAGTTCCTGGCTTGCTGTTCTGGCTGTTTGTGAGCAACTTGAGTCTGAAACCACTTTTAAGGACACAGATTCTAAATATAAATATGGTTTGCGTCTCCAGTTTGGTGAGTGACTAAGCTTGTATTGTCACTGATTTTATTGTATGAAGGGATTTTGTCCCCGTTCTGAGAATCTGATCTGCCCGTGACCACACACACTGTCCCAGGCAGTCGGAGGGCTTCTTCGTAGCCCTTAAAATAAATGAGGTCTCTTCACTCAGAAGTCCTTCTGCACTGAGTCTAATCCTCTCTGCAGTTTCCCAATGGGAATCTCCCAAGGCTAGCAGTTTGTAAGCTCTTTGCAGTCATGTTGTGTGTTGATAGAAACCTGTAATTATCTCCCTATTACTCTCGTGGAGTAGATGCCCATTCTGATATGCAAAAGGGAAAAATGTGAGCCAGCCCTCCGCCTCCCAGTCTTCTTTATACATTAATAGATTATTTAGTCAAAAGGCCGGCCTCCACCAATTGGCTTAGGGCAGGAATTAAAGTAGAAAGCTGCGTGTAGGGTCACATCTTCGTGGTCTCGGGCTGCTAACTGGGTAAATGGCCATGGGGACCCAGGGTCCAGAGGCAGGAGCTTTACAGTCCAGAAGTGAGGTCTGGGCCACGGCGGGCAACCCCGGTGGAAGGCATGTGGAGTCAGCGAAGCTCACGATAGGCTCAGAGTTGGGTGGCGGGCTGGGGTCAGTGCGGTCAGGCGGGGCAGGGCATGTGCGCGCAGGAGCGGCTGGCCCTGGCCCTGCTGGATTAGACACCGAAGTCTCTGGCGGTGAAGGTGCTCTGATGTCTTCTGTGGGCAGAGGGTGCTTGTCCCTAGAGCCCCAGGTTCATCCACAGGGCCCTGCCTTCCCTCAGGGTTACCCTTTTTTGTGAAAAGGCCTCTTGTTCTCCACATTGGGGGAGAGAGGGGGCAGACACCCTCCCACTCACCTCCATTCTCAAGTCAGATGTAGGAGGAGGTGGGCCCCCCCTGGGATGCTTGCTCCTGTGTGGGCTGGCTGGCACCATGGCCCATCCATCTTCCTTGTGATTGGATGTATCCCTACTCCCAGGCTCTGCGATCGTCCTTGTGTATAGAGCGGAGAGAAGCTGTGGCTCATAGGCTGGGGAGAATTGCTCCAATTCCTCCACTTCGGCTGGGAAGACCTAGTCAAAGACAGGGTTTGCCTGCTGGTTAGGATTCTCTAAACTCTCTTCCTTTTTCTACTCCCAAGGCAAACAGCGAGACAGAAAAACATGGGATGTGGACGAAATACAATGTGATGTATGCATTACGTAGTTTAGAATTAATGATCCTTTAAAGGACTGGCTGAGGAAATCTGATTGGCGGGTGTGTGGTGCAGGACTGGGTCAGTATTTCAGAGCCTTTTCATCTATCGTATTCTGAGTCCAGGATTTGAATACTCTCAGTCTCCTTTTGCCATTCATTTTAGTGCTGTTTTTTGAAGTTGGTTCTCTCTTGCAACCCTGGTCCCTGGATGCTGACTGCTCTGGGAGTCCCAGAGATGAGGCAGCTTGTGTAGCCACGGATGGAGCTTTGTCCTGCGGGAGGGCCGCACCTCTGGGCACTGGTGATGGCACAGGGCCTTACACCCGTGTTGAGGAGTGCCCGTGCCATCCCAGGGTGACCCTCCCAAAGGCTGTTCAGACATTTACAATATAAAACCAGGCATCTGACCCCAAGTGACAAGGTTGTTGTCTACTTTAGAATTCTTTTTTTTTTTTTTTTTAAATGTCTTTATTGATTTTAGAGAGAAAGGAAGGGAGAGGGATAGAGAGATAGAAACATCGATGAGAGGGAAACGTAGATTGGCTGCCTCCTGCACGCACCCACTGGGGATTGAGTTGCAACCTGGGTATGTGCCCGGGTTCATGGGTTGATGCTCAAACACTAAGCCATACTGACCAGTCTACTTTAGAATTCTTGAATTTTTTAATGATTCCTACCCATCACCATAGCGATATAATAGTTAACAGGTAGCACGCATTGATGAATTGCTGAGTTCAAGGCACAACCCCTAACTGTAATTAATTTTCCTAACTTTGTGGGGTGGTATTATTTTTGTCCCTATTTAACAGATGAGGAAAGTGAGGCACGGAGAGATTTAGTAACATGACAGCCCAAGCTCATGCAACCAGTGGCCAGTGTAGATAACAGGAAGATCCAGTACTATTCCCTTTCATAGTACACTGGAGGCCCAGTGCATGAAATTTGTGCACTGGGGGGAGAGGGGGAGGGCTTCCTCAGCCCGGATTGTGAGAGGGCACAGGCCAGGCTGAAGGACCCTCACTGGTGCACGATCGGGGTTGAGGAAGTACGCGGGAGGTTGGCCGGCGGGGAGGGGCCGCGGGAGGGCTCTAGGGTGTATCCAGCCCGTTTCAGTCCCAATTGGCTGGAACCCAGCACCAAGCTAACCTATGGGTCAGAGCGTCTGCCCCCTGGTGGTCAGTGCATGTCATGGCAACTGGTTGACTGGTCGACTCTCTGCCCCCTGGTGGTCAGTGCACATTGTAGTGAGCGGTTGAGCAGCCTTAGCATTTCATTAGCATATTAGGCTTTGATTGGTTGAACGGACGACAGGGCACTTAGCATATTAGGCTTTTATTATATAGGATTTTTGGTATTACAGAATTCTGGTCATGCAGGAAATAGGCATTGCACACTTACCAGGCCCTAGCGGTAACAGTTCTGAAGCTTACATTCTGGTGGGGAGAGAGCCAGGAAGCAGACACACAGAACTGCAGGTGCCAGGTCCGGGGGGGTCGGGGTGGGGTGGGTGGTGCTGAAGGGAAATGAAGGGGGAAGAGTGAGTGCATCAGGCAGGCCCTGTTTCAGGGCGGCCAGTAGGACAAGGTGACCCTGAGCACACACCTCAAGGGTGTGAGAGAGTGAGCAACAAGAGTGTTTGTGGGAGGAGATAGGAAGTGCAAAGGCCCTGAGTCAGGCTTGTGCTTTGGGGTGGAGAAATGGCAGGGGGTGGGGTGGTGGTGGTGGTGATTGCGATTGGAGGGCAGTCAGTGCCCAGAGGTGGGCACCTGCGTCCTGTTGTGTCTGGAACCACATAGAAGGAGTCTGCTTGCTAAGTCAGAGAGCCTTACAAACTGCCTCAACTCAGATTCCAGATTATGCCTGAAATCAGTTGTTAACCCCTTCCTCCCAAGCTAATCCCTCCCTAATTCTAACAGCCTAGAGGGCTGGTGCCAGCCAAGCCTTATCTGGGGAACAAGGACTCCTGCTTAGTTCCTGGCTCTGGTCAGCCTTCAGGAGGGGCCACAGTGCTCTGGTTGAGAAGCTGGCCTGGGGGAGGGGGAGGGGGAGGGAAGGAGGAGATAGTTCGAGAGCACCTGTGCCCTGAGCCCTTCTTGTCTCCACAGATGGGGAACTGGGAGAGGTTTCCGCCGAGGGCGCTTCCGCTCAGGGTAAGAGCCAGGCAGCGTGCTGCCCTCTAGTTTGTCTGATTCACCCTGCCGTCTCCATGCAGTGCTGTCAGGAGGATGTGAGGATCAGGTTGAGGGATGCTGAGAGCAGTGGCTGCTGTATAAAAACGTCAGATAAAGAATTATGTGCCCAAACGGGGTGCGTTGAAACTTGTCACATTCAAACTTATTTTCATGCATTACCAGGGCTGGGGAACGTCCAGCCCGCGGGCCATAGAAGGCCCACGACATCATTTGGTCTGGCCCTGCCAAGGCATTAGGGATGAGTTAATCAAATGCTTGACCAAATATAGCAGGCTACTTTTTAAGTTGATAATTTTGTATGACCCACAAGTGATATAAAGATCCAAAGGGCCCTTGTCAGAAACAAAGGTTCCCACCCCTGCATTAGACCTGCAGTGGGATTCTCAAATATGGTGACATTTCATGTGTCATTGAATCAACACACAGAGACAGTTAATATGTGTTTAAAGTTCCTGTTGGTTGTGAAGCTGAAGGGGTGTGTTTAGTAGGAGATTTACCCCGTGATTGACTTGTGCCAATACATGTGTGACATCTTTTACAGCTGAAGAATGGGGAGACAAAGATTCACCCACAAATCATTTTAATTCAGGTATGAACTTAAGTTTGCCAACACATTATTTTAAATATCATTATTGCTGAGGGGCATATATACCTTTGAATTTTATAATTGAGCTTATTACACATATTTATTTAAAAATTATTATTTGACTATGCCGATCACATTCATAAAGGTAAAACTTTGTCTCTGTTATTTAGAATGTGTTAAAATTGAACCTCACTGTCAACACTGTAATGCTGAAAATGTAAGTATCTTTTAATTATAAAATATGACTCTCTGATTTGTTTTATTTAAGAAAACACTTAATTATATATTATTTATATATTACATATGTATTTTTCTCCAGAAACACAATGAACAAGTGACCCCCAGACTCCTTTCCAGGGGACAGTTTTTGTAAGTAATTGTGAATACAGGAGACTTAGTATGATCAGTAATTTAATTTTCTGCATAAACATAACGCCAATTAGGGGAGACACAAAATAGCATAACTAATGTCACACATTTTATGTAATTACCTGGATTGTTGTCTCTGGTAGTGATACTTCTTCACAATGCACAGTTTCCTTAATGCTTTTGAGTGAAATTAAAAACGTAAGTAACTGTAACAAGTCCTCTCCTAACCAAACATTAAGACTCAGCAGGTGTTCTTATCTGTCCACCGCAGGCTGAAGGTGGACACGGAGGGAGTGTACGAGTGCACGGAAACTGGTCTGATCTTTGAGGTTAACAGAAAAGTTGACATCAAGTATTGCGTTTTGTCCTGGAGCAAATACGCAGACCTGGTTGTCAAGCCCTGGGCTGTTGGGGGACCCATGTTTGATGTCAAATGTGACCCAGCCTGTCTTACCTCCATTCAGTTTCCACATTCCCTCTGCTTGGGGCGTAAGTACTTGTTTGCTGAAATGTAACGATGGTGTGTTTGTGTGCATGTGTGCAACCCCTGTCACACCTGGACCACTCCTGTACCTTCATGTTTTCACAGACCATGATGCCAATATGACATTCAGAGTCTTACACGTTAAAAACTCCGAGGCCTCGTTAGAATGTGCTGTGGATCATTCTGCGACCCATGTCAAGTGGCACGTGAGCTCTCTTTCTCCTGTGGGACCTGTCATTCAAAGCGAAGAAACATTATACCACCACGGGGCTGTGATTCTGTACAAAGTCATCGACCAGAATCCCTCCTTATCTTTTCGGGTGTACGTAGCAACCAATAACGAGTCCTTCATCAAGGTAAAGCCAATAAACATGAATAATAAATGTTCAGGTCTTCGTGTTCAAACATGACACCACGTGAGGGTGTGGCTCCTGTCCCTGTTAAGTGCCCCCGTTTGGGTCTAATTTGGCCCTTAACCTACAGAGGCTATATTGTCAGTGCCAGGGTGGGCCCTGCGTCCTCAGATCCACGGAGTACGGTTGTCTGTACACACAAAGAGCATCGTGAAGACAACAGCTGGGGAAGTAGCTCTTCAGGGGCGGGGTTGGCCCAGGCAAGCAGGCCTGGCCTTGGAGAGGGCTGCCTGATGGACAGCCAAGGTCGGCTGCTCTCTCCAGCAATGCTGCTTAAAACGTCGTCTGGGAACCAGGGGACCAGGACGCTCGGCATCAGCTGGGAGCTTGTTGTTGAAATTTTAGCGCACTCTCAGCCCTATCCCAGACCTACCGAAGCAGAGCGGGTACTCGGCAGGATTCCCAGGGGATTCAGGCATGGTTTAGAGTGTGAGAAGCACCTGTTCCAGAAAACACTGGGGGGACATCTGGGGTCTTTGGGTCCAGAGTAAGGCGACTTGAGATTTCTCGTTGGCCTAATGCTCCTCAGATACGATGGGCCTCCCAGGTTAACTCATTTAACTCAGAGTGACGTTTTGGATAAAAATTGTCCTATGGTTCGTGGGCTCAACAGTCTGTGTTTTATGGCAGCACGTATTCATGAATCACCTGTTGCAGTGAGGGAAGAGGAGGGAGTTTGGATATATTCATCGTGGTTCAGTTTTCCAGAATGTAGAAGAAGGCTGTGATATTTAGCCCATTTTCTGAAGTAAATAGATTAGAATAGTAGTAGTTGAATATCCTTTCATACTTTTTGCCATTCTCAGTGCACTTGTAATGGTTTAGAGGTAGGAGGAGAATAAATAGACAAAGTAAACAGATAAAACAGTGACTTGAAATTATACTTTCAGATTTTAGATCAGGGTTTGACATAAGTAATGTAAGCATTAAAAAACAAAACAAAGAATTAAGCATTAGATTTGAAGTATACTATACTAATTGAGGAGTTCTAGGTTGAATTACAGAATTTATATCAAACTATCTACTCCCAGTGGTTTAGGTTGTAGTATTTCCTTGACTTTAAAATTAATCATACTGATTATAATTAGCAATATGTATGAAAGTTTAAATACTTTATAGTAAATAATAGGCTTTTAGTTTCTTCCTAAGAAGGTAAACCTGCTTTTTGTAATCTCATTAATGATAACATGTTCAATTGGGAAGCTAGTTTTCAAAATGGTATAAAAATAATCCCATCTAAAGTATAATTAGCATAGCTTTGGAATAAATACTATTATTTTATGAAGTTTGTATTAAAAAAAATTTTTTTTGTTCAAAATAATAAAGGTTCAGTTTTTAAAGCAAACCCAAGGTGGGTTGGTTGATTTCTGGGCAGCTTAAAAAAAAAAAAAGTTTTTATTGATTTCAGAGAGGAAGGGAGAGGGAGAGAGAGAAAAAAACATCAATGATGAGAGAGAATCATTGATGATCCAGCCCACAGTCTGGCCATATACCTTGACTGGGAACCGAACCCGTGATCTCTTGGTTCCTGGGTCGACATTCAATGGCTGAGCCACACCTGGCTGAGCTGGGCAGCTTTTTAAAAAAATAAATGTACTGGGTGACATTGGTTAATAGGATCATGTAGGTTTCAAGTATACATTTCTATGATACAAGATCGGTTTACTGCACTGTGCTAACCTCCCAAAGTCAAGAACTTTGTATTTTAAAAGTAAATTCAGTTCATTAAACGGGCATTTTCCATGCTTGCTGGGAAGCTGGGTAAGAAGCTGTCCTGTCAGCAAACGGAGAGGAGGAGCCACTGGAACAATAGGGAGCACGCACAGCGAAGGCAGGAAGCCCTCTCTGGCAATGTTTTATGTTTGCATTCTTCTTCTCGGGATTTTTTTTCCTATGTAGGAAAAGACTTCCTTGACCTTTGCCTACAGGAAACCCACATTTCACGTCAGCTGCACAGCAGCTTTATCAGGGGAGCCTGGGCCAAAGGTTGCTTTCACCTCTTTAGGTCATTCGAGCAATATGTACAAAATCAGCGTCCCCTCTATAGGGGGGTAGTTGTGACAATCCGCTGGAAAAGAAGTGCTGGGTAGAAACAGCTTTGAGTAAACTGGAACCGAGTCCTAAAACAGTTGCTTTCCATTCCCATGGTGGGCATGTAACGAGCACCCATGTATATGCTGGTGCTAACCTCAGTTTGTCAGATTCTCCAGAAGCAAGTTGCTGGTGCCCCGCCGGCTGCCTGTGCTGCTTTTAGCTGTCGGGCACAGAGGATGTTTGGAGACCTAGGAGCCCGCGGTGCAGACTGAGGGCGCCTGAGCTTTAGCATTTCTTTTGTGAGCACCGAGGAGGTCACTCGGGCCGGCACTTGGGAGGAGGAAATGAAGAACCTGCAGCCTGGCCTGCACGGCTAGGTCTCTTACAGCTCGTAGAGTTGTTGCTGGTGCATTTCACAGCCAAAACCTATCTCCATCTTTAGGATATTGCCAAGGCTGTGAAGCACTCCTCTAAGAAATTCATGAAAATCGACAAGCCTCCTGTGTGCCTGAAGTTATTGGAGAATGGGAAGAAGTACAGACTGGTCAGTGAACCGGAAGCCGACATCACCCCTGAGGTATATATTTTACACACCAACTTGGAGTAATAGCAGGGATGGATGGATATTTCTTAGCTATAGTATTTTGAAGGTTGCAAAGGAATCCATTTTGTTCTCATTTTTTATTTCCTACATATAAGAAAACAGTTGTCTGGCTAATCTTGTAGGTTATTCCAAAGATGCTTTTTTTTTTTTTTTAACCCTCACCTGATTTTTCCATTGATTTTTGGAGAGAGGGTAAGGCAGGGAGATATATTAATGTGAGAGGAACACATCGATTGGTTGCCTCCTGCACGAGGCCTGACCAGGGCCCGGGCCGGGGAGGATCCTGTAACTGAGGTATGTGCCCTTGACCGGAGTCGAACCCTGGACCCTTTGGTCTGTAGACCAATGCTCTATCCACTGAGCTAAACCGGCTAGGGCCCAAAGATGCTTTGAATTTAAGGTTTAGTCTGCAACCATTGCAAAGATAGATTAGCTGATCACTTTCCCTTTTAAAAGGTTTTAAATTTTCCTGAATGTTTTATTAAATTCTTCAGTGTTAGCATCAACGGAATGAAAAACTCAACTTTTATTGTAAGTTACAGAGCATTTAAGGTTAATGGGAAGGAATTGCTAACAAGGGAGTTTGGGCTTTTCTTACTGGAAGACATTTGAAAAATAGTTATGGGAACATAATGCCATTTTGATTTAAGCTCTTTGCTGAACACACCATGGCATTTGCAAGTGATTTCAGTTTCTCGTAAATGACTGAGTTATTCTTAAAACTTATTTTCATTATGTGCTCTGAACGTGTGCCATAGCTTATCTAGCCTAGCTGTCGGTGTAGAAATTCCTTTTGAACACCTCTCTTTGTTTCTCTTATCCTATCTAATAAAAGAGAAAGATGGTAATTGGCATACGACCGCTACCCTTCCCATTGGCTAATCAGGGCGATATGCAAATTAACTGCCAACCAAGATGGTGACCGGCAGCCAGGCAGCTGATGCGAACAGGGAGGCTTGCTTGCTTCAGTGACGGAGGACTCCAACATTCCCCGCCTGACTTGCCAGCCTCTCAGCTGCAACTCTAAGCAACTATGTTGCAAATATAGAAGCTAAAAAACCCCCAGAAACCTACTTTACTCAGCTGGGCTTCAGCCAGCTGGACCGCAACATTGTATCAAATACAGATGGTAAACAAAGGCCAGAAACCTGTTTTCAGCAGCTGAGATCTCAAAGCTAAAGCTGGCCCAGAATAAAAAAAGAAAAAAGAAAAAAAGGAGCGGTTGGGAGGTGAGCTTCAGTCACCCGCCAGCCTGAAAACAGCCCTCAGCCCCTCAGCCAGACTGGCCAGGCACCCCAGTGGGGACCCCCACCCTGATCCAGGACACCCTTCAGGACAAACCAGCCGGCCCCCACCCGTGCACCAGGCCTCTATTCTATATAGTAAAAGGGTAATATGCCTCCCGGCACTGGGATCAGCGTGACAGGAGGCAGCGCCCAAACCCCCTGATCGCCCTGCGGCTCTGTGTGTGACAGGGTGCAGCGCCCCAACCCCCTGATGGGCCCTGCTCTGTGGGTGATAGAGGGCGGTGCCCCAACCCTCCCCCACCCCCCTACGGGCCCTGCTCTGTGTGTGACGGGGTAGAGCCATAACCTCCCCATCGGCCCTGCCCTGAGTGTGACAGTGGCGGCGCCCCAACCCCCTGATCGGCCCTGCTGTGGGTGATAGAGGGTGGCGCCCCATCCCCCTGATCCGCCCTACTCTGTGTGTGACGGGGGGCGGTGCCCCAACCCCCCCTGATGGGCCTGCTCTGTGAGTGACAGTGGGGAGCTCCTCAACCCCCTGATCAGCCCTGCTCTGTGTGTGACAGGGTACGGAGCCCCAACCCCCCTGATGGGCCCTGCTCTGTGCATGACAGGGGGCAGTGCCCCCAACCCCCTGATCCGCCCTGCTCTGGTGTGACAGGGGGCGGTGCCCCAACTCCCCTATTGGCCCTACTCTGTGCATGACAGGGGTGAGCTCCTCAACCCCCTGATTGGCCCTGCTCTGTGCGTGACAGGGGGAGCTCTCCAACCCCCTGATCAACCCTGCTCTGTGTGTGACATGGTACGGAGCCCCAATCCCCCTGATGGGCCCTGCTCTGTGCATGACAGGGGGCAGCGCCCCAACCCCCTGATCTGCCCTGCCCAGTGTGTGACGGGGTGGCACTGCAACTTCCCTATCGACTCTGCCTTGAGTGTGACAGGGGGCAGTGCCCCAACCCCCCAATCGGCCCTATCCTGAGCGTGACTAGGGGTGGCATTGCAACCTCCAGATCCTCCCTGCTCTGTGCATGACAGGGCGGCGCCCCAACTCCCCAATCAGCTCTGCTCTGAGCCCGACCAGGGGCTGCACCTAGGGATTGGGCCTGCCCTCTGCCACCTGGGAGTAGGCCTAAGCCAGCAGGTCGTTATCTCTCGAGGGGTCCTAGACTGCGAGAGGGCACAGGCCGGGCTGAGGGACCCCCTCTCCTCACCGAGTGCACAAATTTTTGTGCACCGGGCCTCTAGTAGTATATAAAGAGTCAAAAACATGTTTTGATTTTATTATATTAAAATATGAAGCAAGAGAGAGCTAATCGTGATGATCTGTGTTGCATTATTTTATTATCAGGAGGCTCGTGCTCTTTGGAGCAATCAGGTTATCAGTTTCCTGTAACTTTCGAACACAGACGGTCTTATTTCATGTCCAAGGGTCTCTTTGCACCCATGTCATTTGAGCCTTACGACAGTGCAGCTGTGGAAACGAATGTGCAGAGCAGGCATGTGATCAGATCGCACACCTGGGAGCAGGAGAGCTGGCCCCGCGCCCCATCTGCCCTTGGCTCCTAAGGCCAAGGTTGTGTCACCGATTCTGATCAAGCCCTAGCAGACGGTACCTCAAGACAATTACAGGAAGCCGACTGCAGCCTTGTCTGGGAGGTGCAATTCGATTTGAAGGGTTTGCTTAGGACAGTGATTCTTGGCCTTTGCTGCCTAATGGAATCCCCGAGGAGCTTTAAAGAAGCCTGTGGCCTCTGGAGATAGTGACTTACTGCTCTGGGAATGGCCTGGGCCTCGGGCTTGTTAACCCTCCCACGGTGACTGTGATGTGCTGCCAAGATTAACAGCCACTCAGAGAGGGAATCATGCATAGTGAGTACATGGATCTGCCCAGAAAGAGACTGTCGTGGTCCCACAAGGTTTTTCTTACAAAGATGGTGGTGGCTGGGGACTTTCAATGGTCTAGTTCTGTCACTAGCTGTGTGTGCTCTCTTAAGCAAATTTAGGGCATTTAAAAATGGGGATAATCTCCCAGCATTGCTCAAAGGGTCGTAGAAGTGGTTCGGGGGGCACTCTGAAATTTGAAAAACTCTGTGTAAATCTTAAGGTGTTCGTACTTGTTTTATACCATTCATGATTTCTTTAACTGACATGTGTGAGAAGTGACTATTCCAAGTAGGCCTGGGATAAGAGCTAAGAATTAAAAAAACCAGTAAGTCATGAGCTTTTCCCTCCAAAGACACCCGTGTAGAGGGAGAAATGCTGCATTTCCGTAAAGAAGTAATTTTCATATAATGCGATATTACCATCGAAATGGGTGCAAAGTGCAGTGGGTTTTCAGGAAGGTTACCACGTGGTGACATTTGGTTTGGGTTTGGAGGGGGAGGGAATCACTGGGGGAGGGAACGCAGTGCCTAAGTGAGGTGATGGGATGTGCAGCAGGGCTCGGCATGGGGGTCATTCCAGGGAGGGGAACACACAGGGCTTTGGGAAGAGTGGAGCCAAGGGAGGGCTTTACTTTCGCTTTATGGGCCCTGGTGAACCTTTGAAGATTGTGAGGATAAAGCTAGTGAGTTGGAATAGAAAGGGAGAGGGCCTGGTTAAAGCCATTGTTTTATGATGGCAAGGCCCCGGGTGATTTAGTGATACAAAGGCAACGAGTTACTGCGGGTTGTGTTTTAGATTCACCACAATAAGGTGAATCTAGAAATACAGTGAGTCACTGGTTTCCCAGTGCATATAAAAGTTATATTATAATCAGTATTAAGTGTGCAATAGTATTATGTCTAAAAAAACCAACATACAGCCCGGCTGGCATGGCTCAGTGGTTGAGCATCAAGTTATAAACCAAGAGGCCACGGTTTGATTCCCGGTCAAAGGGCACATGCCTGGGTTGTAGGCTCTATCCCCAGGGCGAGGCATGCAGGAGGCAGCCGATCAATGATTCTCTCATCATTGATGTTTCTATCTCTCTTTTCCTCTCCCTTCCTCTCTGAAATAAAAAATAAATAAATAATGCACATACTTAATTTAAAAATACGTTCTTAAAAAATGCTAACCATCAGCGAGTCAAAATGTTTTTGCTGGTGGAGGGTCTTGCCTCAGTGTTGATGCTGCTGAATGGTCAGGATGGAGGTTGCTGAAAGTTGGGGTACCTGTTGTCTTAGTTTTTTTAAAATATATATTTTTATTGATTTCAGAGAGAAAGGGAGAGGGAGAGAGAGATAGAAACATCAGTGATAGAGAGAATCATCGATTGGCTGCTTCCTGCACATTCCCTACTGGGGATTGAGCCCGCAACCCAAGCATATGCACTTGACTGGAATCGAACCTGGGATCCTTCAGTCCACAGGCCAACGTTCTATCCACTGAGCCAAACCAGCTAGGGCTTAGTTTTTTAAAATAAGACAACAATGAAGTTTGCCACATAGATTGATTCTTCTTTTCACGAAAGATTTCTCTGTAGCATGCAATGCTGTTTGATAGCATCTCACCCACAGGTAGAACTTCTTTCAAAATTGGAGTCAATCCTCTCAGACCCTAGCACAGCTTTATCAAGTGAGTTTATGTAATATTCCAAACCCTTTGTTGTCATTTCAACAATCTGCACAGCGTTTAATCTTTCTGCAAGTTGTTTTTGAGTTTGACACGCATCTTCATCCAGTAATGCTTGTAATTGTTGGTCTTCAAACTTTTCAGTTGACTTGGACGTTCTTTGTCTTTCACATAGAAATCATCACTTTTAAAGCGTTTAAACCAGCATTCACAAGTATCTTTACCAGGAATGGATTCCATCTCGAGGAACCATTTTCTTTGTTCATCCAGCTCGTCATTTGTTAAAGTTTTATCATGAGATTGCAGCAATTCAGTCACATCTTCTGGTTTGACATGTAATTCCACTTCTGTTGCTGTTTCCACCACACGACAGTTACTTCCTTCACTGCAGTCTTGAACCCTCAAAGTCATCCCTAAGGGTTGGAACCAACTTCTTCTAAACTCCCGTGAATGCTGATATTTTGACCTCTTCCCAGGAATCATGAATGTTGTTAAATGGTATCTAGAGTGATGAATTCTTTCTGGGAGGTTTTCAATTTATTTTCCCTGGATCCATCAGAGGAAATCACTATGGCAGTTATAGCCTTAGGAAATGTATTTTTTTTGTGTGTGTGTTTTTATTAATCTACACCTGAGGATATTTTTCCATTGATTTTTAGGGAGAGTGGAAGAGAGAGGGAAAGACAGAGAGAAACATCGATATGAGAGAGACACATTGATTGGTTGCCTCCCACATGTGCCCTGACCAGGGCCTGGCCAGGGAGGAGCCTGCAACCGAGGTACATGCCCTTGACTGGAATTGAACCCGGGACCCTTTGGTCTGCAGTCCAAAGCTGTATCCGCTGAGCCAAACCGGCTTGGGCAGGAAATGCATTTCTTACATAATAAGACTTGAAAGTAGAAATTACTCCTTGATCCATGGGCTGCAGAATGGGTGTTGTGTTAGTCGGCATGGGAACATTAATCTCATTGTGCGTTTCCATCAGAGCTCTTGAGTGACCAGGTGCATTGTCAATGAGCAGCAATATTTTTATTTTTTTATTATTTTTTTATTTTTTAATAATTCTTTATTATTGAAAGTATTACATATGACCCCTATTTCCCCCATTGACTCCAGCCCTCCCCCATGTCCCCTTTTCCCACCCCAGGCCTCTAGCACCCCACTGTCTGCATCCATGGGTTATACATATATGCATTCAAGGTCCCTGGTTGATTACCTCCCACCCACCCACCCTCCCCCACCTTTCCTCTGAGATTCTGCACTTGAGCGGCAATATTTTTAAAGGAATCTTTTTTTTCTGAGCAATAAGTCTCAACAGTGGTCTAAAATATTCAGCAAGCCATGTTGTAGTCAGCTGTGCTGTCTTCCAGGCTTTGTTGTTCCAGACCACAGGCAGGATAGATTTAGCAGAATCCTTAAGGGCCCCAGGATCTTCAGAATGGTAAATGAGCACTGGCTTCAACTTCATGCCACCGGCATTAGCCTCCAACAAAGGAGTCAGACTGTCCTTTGAAGATTTGAAGTCAGGCATTGACCTCTCCTGATGGCATCTTCTTCCAATGGGAGGCTGTTTTGTCTGCATTGAAATCTGTTGTTTGGTGTGGCCACCTGCATTAATTATTGTATCTAGATTTTTCTGGATAACTTGCTGCAGCTTCTAGATCAGCACTTGCTGCTTCACCTTGCATTTTTATGTTATGGAAATGGCTTCTTTCCTTAAACCTGTGCACTTCCTCACTTCTCTTGGCCTTCACAGAATAGAATAGAGGTAGGGTATTGCTCTGGGTTAGGCTTTGGCTTAAGAAAATGTTGTGGCTGGTTTGGTCTTCTATCCAGATCATGAGAACGTTTTCCATATCAGCAACGAGGCTGTTTCACGTTCTTACCATTTGTGTGTTCACTGGAATAGCATTTTTAATTTCCATGAAGAACTTTTCCCTTGCAGTCACAACTTGACTGACTGGTGCAAGAGACCTTGTTTTCGGCCTGTGTTGGCTTTCAACATGCCTTCCTCACTAAGATTTTGAGCTTTTGATTTAAAGTGAGAGATTTGTGACTCTTCCTTTCATTTGAACTTTTAGAGGCCATTGCCCTGTTATTAATTGGCCTATTTTCAGTATGGTTGTGTCTCAGGGAATAAGGAGGACTGAGGAGAGGGAGAAAAGTAGGGAAATGGCTAGATGTTGGAGCAGTCAGAACACATACATACTTATCAATTAAATTCGTGATGCCCCCAAACAATTATAATACTAACATCAAAGATCATGATCGCAGCTCATCATTGCAAATCTATACTAATAAAAGGGTAATATGCTAATTAGACTGGGTGACTGAACATTTTCCAGACGTCTGACTTCCTTCTGGACAATTAGGGGGTGACCAGGCCAGCAGGGGGACAGTTAGGAGGTGACCAGGCTAGCAGGGGGGCAGTTGGAGGGCAACCAGGCCGGCAGGGGGCAGTTGGGGGGCAGCCAGGCCAGTAGGGGGGCAGTTGGGGGCAGTCAGGCTGGCAGGGGGGCTGTTGGGGGGTGACCAGGCAGGCCGGCAGGGGGGCAAGTGGTTAGGAGCCAGCGGTCCCACAGGGATCAGGCCTAAACCGGCAGTCGGACCATCCCCCGAGGGGTCCCTGATTGGAGAGGGTGCAGGCCAGGCTGAAGGATCTGCCCACCTCCATGCACAAATTTTGTGCACTGGGCCTCTAGTATAATAATAATGAAGGAGTCTGAACTGTGAAAATTTCCAAAATGTGACACAGAGACATGAAGTGAGCAAGTGCTTTTGGGAAAATGGCGCCAGTAGGGTTGCCACAAACCTTCAGCTTGTAAAGAGCGTAACATCAGTGAAATGCAATAAAACAAGGCACAGGCTGCACTTTATAAAAAGTGCATTTCTCCCTCCAGGCTCGGTAGGCAGCCCGGAGAGGAACAGCGGAGGTGTAAGGCAGGAGGCGGCTGTGTAGCGGTTAAGAGCGCACTCTTTGGCGTCAGAAGATGTGGGTGCACGTTAAATTCTACCACTTCCTACATGTGAAGTTGGGCAAGTTTAATTTGCTTCTCTGAGATTCTTTACCCGTAAAATAGCAAAAAGAGGATTTGGTGGGGGAAGGTGTTCAGTGAGGGCGTGCGGATAAAACACGCAGCATAGTCTATACGTGTTGTTGAATCTGTTCCATCCAGATTGTGTGGCATGATCTAAGCCAGAGAGGGTGAGGAAGTTCAAACGCACTGACGAGAGGGCGGCTGGTGGGTGAGCACACGTTCTAGTTTGGGAACAGGAAACAAGAAATCAGGAAAGGGCTGAAAAGTTAAGCTTTAGGAAAATGAAACAGAAAAGGAAGTTGGAGTAAGGGGGGCCGAGAAGCAAGAGAATAAGAGGGTGTGTGATTCAGGAATGGGATTTCCAGGGCCAAGGTGTCGGTGAGCATTCAAGTAAGCATTAACCTATCTAATAATTGTCATCGTTTGCTAATGATGTCATCAGTGAGTGAATACAACTTTTCTATTAAAAAAGTCACTTTTTTTTTTTTTTTAAAGGAAATTGAATTTGTGGATGGTTCCCTTTTAAAACTGAAAAATTATATTGAAGTTTATTTGGAGCAGCCAATGGAGTTTAAATTACTGTTGGTTGAAATGGATTCCGACGAGATTGTATGGAAAGCGAAACTGAGAGAATGTAAGTGTTTTATATCCTAAAGGAAAACTGGTTTGTGGGTGGTGGGGGTGGGAAAGCAAATAGAGTAATTGTCTGTCCCGTCAGCATAACATTTAAAGATCCGATGGAGGGAAAGGCGCTGCTCCTGGGACAGAAGTGCGGCCCTGGCTCTCAGGCACCCACGTCCAGATCCTGGGGGTCAGCGGGTGGCTCAGCGCGTTTGCGGAGACTTCAGAGAGTGGGGGGGAGTTGGCCAGTGGAGTTGTTGTTTTCTTGAGGTTTGGACCTCAGATATTTTAGGGGTGTTGTGACACAACCTGGATGTAGCTCTGCATTTTGGCTGACTGTGTGTCTCATTGGCTGACTCTGCCTCTTTGGTCTTTAAGGGATAGCTCCCACTCTGTGCGATTACGGCTCTGCTGGGGGACCCCACGGCCCCTGTGTCCCCCTGTTCAAATTCTTGGGGCTGGGAAGCCCTCTGACAGCGCCCCCCTCCCCTTTAACATCCTCTCCGGCTCATTATTTATCTCCAGAATTCAAGCCCAGCGCATTTGTGCACATACCAAGTGAAACCCCAAACTCATATGCGAACTTCAGAGAGGTTGCCAAGACCCTAGAGCTCCGTACACTTTCACAAGTTGATTTCCTGAATTCTGATTTCATACCAGTTTTTCTAAGTGATGCTTTCGTGCTTTAACAGGTGACTGGGTTCAACATGATCAGAGTCAGAACGTTTCAAAAAGCAGAACAAGTGGTAAGTGCTGGTAACTGGACACTAAGCGCGTTGTGCCCAGCCTTGGGTTCCTCCCATCCGCTAGGATCTGTGCTTTGCTGCGCCGAGGTGATTGCATTATGGATCTGTTAAGTGCTCTGTGACTCTGTTAATCATCTGAACAATCTTGGAATCCATTTTCAATTGGTTTCTACCTGAATGATGATGCTTTTTTTAAAAAAAGTCCAGATTGAAGGTAATAAACATAATGGAAAGCAAACTTGTTGATTCTTTTTTTTTTTAAGGTAAAAGGCGACGTAAAGTAAGTAACACTCTACCTGAAGAGGAGGTCAATGCTAAAAGAATGAAGCAGGTTGACACTTCAGGTTTGTAACACTGCCCTCCGTGGCCATCAGTTATTTCCCTGGGCTCTTCCGTCGATGTGCATCCATCACACATGCTCTTGGGTCAGTGTTCCTCGCGCCACATCCGGTTGTGGGCGCCTGTGTCCCAGCGCCTCGGGCCTGGATAAGGGTCCTCCGTGGCCTGCCCCGGCCTGTATTCCCATTTGATTCCCCACTTCTCCCCTTCACTCAGCAGAACTGTGAGGCAGGGGGGTTCCTTGCAGTCCTTAAAGGTAAGGCCGTACCTACCCATCTTTACATTTCATAGCACTGCACATGGAGCCTTCGTGTAGGAGACAGTGCGCGTAGTTTGAGTGAATGGAATTGTGAATGTCCATGTGTGCGTTCATTGGCTTCACTGTTTTTAGCTATTTCGGGGTGAAGCACCTCCAGTTCATTTAGTAGAGGAAGGTCTCAACTTAGTTTCTTTCAATTAAATGGCAGAGACCAAGGCTCAAAGGTTGTGAAAATACAATGGAGATTTAAAACATTAAACAATACTCTAAGGAGCCAGAAGATGGAATTCGTAGTTCAAAAATGCAAGTCCAACAAGAATTCACAAATCTAAGTTTAAAAGCCCAGACCCAAATTATATGAGACAAGATCTCAAGCATTTAGGGACCTCACATAGGTCTCCAAATTAACCCTTTCACCAAAGTACCTTTTCTTTTGCTATTATTGTAAGAAGGTATGAATCTATAAAAGCAGACAAACTCTCTATAAAATGAAATAAGATATCTATCTCACACTTTCTAGAGCAGGAGACTGTGGGGATGACATGTGTGATTTTACTGTATATTGCTATAGAGATGTTTGTTATTTTTATCAGGGCAACACCAAAATAAGTGAGGCTCTGGAATTATTTTTAAAACCTAACTACATTGAGATACAATTTTTTCCAGTTCTATTGAGGGATATTTGACAGATAAAATTGTATACACTACAGTGTACAACATGAGGATTTGGTATACGTGTACATGATGAAATATTTATCAATCAAGTTAACACATTCATCACCTCACAGTTGCTTTTTATTTTAGTGGCGAGAACACTTAAGATTTACTCTCAGGAAATTTTAAGTATATAATACGATACGGTATTATTAGCTATAGTCACCATGCTGTACATTAGATCCTCAGAAATTACTCATAACTGAGTGGGACATAGTTTTTATTTGATTGATTTATAGGACAAGTTTTTCTTCTTTAAAAAATATGTTTTTATTGATTGTAGAGAGAGAGGAAGAGAGAGGGATAGAGAGAGAGAGAAACATTGATGAGAGACAAACATCAGTGGACTGCCTACTGCACGCCCCCTACGGGGAATCGAGCCCACAACCCAGGCATGTGCCCTGACCAGGAATCAAACTGGTATGCTCTTGGTTTATCGGTCGACACTCGACCACTGAGCCACGCCGGCTGGGCAAGTTTTTCTGTTTCATGCAATTATTTGGCTATTTATAATGAACCCAGGTGTCGTGGCTCAGTGGTTGAGTGTAGATGAACCTTGCCCAGGTTATGGGCTTGGTCCCCAGTAGGGGTTGTGCATGAGGCAGCAGATCAGTGATTTTCTCTCATCATCGATGTTTCTATCTCCCTCTTCCTTTCTCTCTGAAATCAATAAAAAATATATTTAAAAATATTAATAAATAAATAAAATAAAATGAGTTCCAATGACAAGTAGCTAGAAATAGAATCAAAACAATCAGATTCACCCAGAAAGATTAAGGATTTCCAACTGTTTTGGAGTTGACAGTGTAGGATCTAAATAAATAAAGATTTTTTGTTTGTTTGTTTAGGTATTCCCTCAATAATATTCTTTGAGATGTCCAGTCACTAGCTTGGTAGTTTCAAACTCAGTATATCACTGTGTTGCTTTTAAAAATATGATCAGCCCTCAGCCCGAACAGAATTATTTTGAGATCTTGTTAAAATTTAGGCTCAGAGTCTGATACAATGAGTTTTGGGATGGTCTTGAGAACTTTCATCTAAATAGGTTCCCTTGCAGTCGTTTCCATCAACAGGAGTCTTGAGAGCTAGGAGCGGTCAGCCATGTATCAGGAAACCACCAGAGAGTGAAGGCCTTCTTTAAGAACCCATTCTTCAGACTAGAACAGTGGTTCTCAACCTTCCTAATGCCGCGACCCTTTAATACAGTTCCTCATGTTGTGGTGACCCCCAACCATAAAATTATTTTCGTTGCTACTTCATAACTGTAATTCTGCTACTGTTATGAATCGTAATATAAATATCTGATATGCAGGATGTATTTTCATTGTTACAAATTAAACATAATTAAAGCATAGTGATTAATCACAAAAACAATATGTAATTATACATGTGTTTTCCAATGGTCTTAGGCGACCCCTGTGAAAGGGTCATTCGACCCCCAAAGGGGTCTCAACCCACAGGTTGAGAACTGCTGGTCTAGAAAGTTAGAGAGAGGAGGCCCAAGTGGAAAAGGGTCCAAGAACAAATGTTAGATCCACATGAATAAATTGTTGTCTTTAGAGCAGAAGTGTTGCAGTCCTGGAGGAGGGGCAGGAATTCTTCTTACCTCTCACTCTCTTCTCATATCCTCCAGTATTTGTCATGCCTTGAGGATCCTTACCCGGAACTCCACAACCTGTGAGCTTGGCTGCATCATAGCACAAAGTGATCGTTGCAAATCTAGTTTAATGATAGTGCTAATATTTTTTATGGGGCCAGTGGTTTGCATTGGCAAATATATGCCTTTTCAAGATTATAACACTGCTTCTCGGAGATCAATAGCTATTACAAATACCATTCCATGACTTTCCTATGGAACGTGCTATTCCCCTAGTGCCAGGAGATGGCGAAATAGGGACTTCAATGCAGACATCTTGCGAGCATTTATATGAGATACAAAGGTGGGCAAGGGCAAAGCTGTATATTTTTCTTTTTGAGCCACATAAGTTCTTTTTGATATCTGAGTTTTTTTATTCCAACCTGATTTGTGCTGTTTTATGAAAGTCACATTTATAATTATGAACATTATACCCCAGTTTAATGTTATTATGTAAAAGAGTTCCCTTTACTTCTTAAGATATTTTGGATAGCAAGGAGTTTTTGGCATTTAAATGTATTTTACAAGCAGTTACAATTACTACAAATGTAGTCTCCTTTTTTTTTTAATCCTCACCCGAGGATATTTTTCCATTGATTTTTAGAGAGAGGGAAAGACAGGGAGATATATCAATGTGAGAGAAACACATCGATTGGTTGCCTCCTGCACACGCCCTGACCAGGGCCTGGGCCAGGGAGGAGCCTGCAACAGAGGTACGCTCCCCTGACTGGAATCGAACCTGGGACCCTTCGGTCCGCAGGCCAAGTCTCTATCCACTGAGCCAAAATGGCTTGGACTAGTGTCTTTTCTAATAGGAGGAGAATGCATTTTCATTGTAAGTAGTTATCAATGATTAAGTGTTGAGAGGAACTACTGAATTCCTCATCTGCTTTTAGATGGAGCCAAGACCCTGTTAACAGACGATCAGTTGATTACCCTTGCTGGGAAGTTGGGGAAGGAGTGGATAAATATTGGCACTGTCAACCTGGAGTTGGACAGGAGCGATATTGATGATATCCAGAAGAAGGAAGAAAATGTGACAATTTGTAAGTTTCGGATGCTGAAGAAGTGGCAAGACAAGGAGCTAAGCAATGCCACAGTCCAGAATTTATATAACTGCTTGAAAAACGTCTCAGCTGAAGTCCAGGATGTGCTGGAAGGTGAGCAGGAAATGGTCTGAAGTCATTGGCTTGGAGTCAAGCTGTGTCTTTGTGGATAGCAAATTTCCACTGTAAAATGTGAGGCTTGTTTATTTGTAAGCTTGGGTTCAGATTACTACGCAAATGCCGCAGTGAGCTGGTGGCCTGTGATAGCCTAAGTAATGATGTTATGTGCACGGAGTCAGAGGGAGGGGTTCAATCCCAGCTCCGGTGCTGGCTAGCTTTGTGACTAAGCAAATTCTTTTTTTTTTTTTTTTTTTTAATATATATATTTTTTATTTCAGAGAGGAAGGGAGAGGGAGAGAGAGATAGGAACATCAGTGATGAGAGAGAATCATTAATCGGCTGCCTCCTGCCTCCTACTGGGGATTGAGCCCATAACCGGGGCATGTGCCTTTGACCGGAATCGAACTGGGGACCCTTCAGTCTGCAGGCCGATGCTCTATCTACGGAGCCAAGCTGGCTAGGGCTTTTTTTTTTTGGTGGTTGAGATATGTTATTGCACCTTTGGTGACTGGTTGTGGGGAGCGGTCCCTGCTTGTGTAGCACCCTAAAGAGGCGGCCATCTCAGGCCCGGTCCCTGTAGCTTAGGAGCCAGACTGAGCCCCCGGGGCTTCCTACGGAAAATGGCATGGTAAAATTACCTGTGGTTATCGATAAAACCATCACAAAGTCTCAGTTCTGACTGCTCTTCAGGTTTTCCACTGGAAGTTGCGACGAGGTTGAAGGACATAGGCAGAGCTTTGTCTTAGCCTTCAGTGGTGCCGCCCACTTTCCCTCATAGTTTGCTCAATTCAGCAGGTGCAAAGGGGCTGGCTCGTTTTCTTTCTGATTTCCTTCAAAGGTCTTCTCTTCGGACATCCACCTCTGCTCTGCTGGCCACTGAACGGAGCCTGATGACCCCATCCCGAGCTCCTGCTCACTGATGAGGGGATGCCTGCCTCCTCACAGTACTGCAGCTGGTTCAGTAACTTTGGGTTTTTCTTGTAAAGCAGCTCAGCCTTGATCCCGCATCCCACAGCTCTGAGACGAGCTTCAGTCCCTCCTCCAGCAACGTCTGTGCGGATGCTACAGCACCTGTGTCTCTGTGGTCCATTCCTTCTCCTTCAACACCTCTAGCCTCTGCTTCACACTGGAGAAGACCCACTCCACACCAATGCTGAGCCCCACACATGGCACCCTGCACTCTTTGGGGTCAAACAGGCCCATCAGAGCGCCCTCCAGCAGCCACACTGCCCACACCAAGGGCTCTTCCCCTGCCTGGGCTGCAGTCTGTAGCAGCACTGCCTCATAGACCACCCCAGTATAGGAGTCCAGCCCTCAGGCAAGGCTCAGGTTGAAGGAGATCTTGTCAGCAATGCCAAACAGGGTCAGGCACTTAAACAGCAGCTTCAGGTCTCCCAGGCCCTCCAAGGCCTGCTTGTTTTGAGGACGTTGAGGACCCTGGAGCAGCTGTTCCACCAGGGATACCCGACTGAGCTGCTTGCCATAGTCCCCCTGTGCGGTCAGCCACCCGGGTGCGAAGCCCTTCTCTCCCACCATCTCGTTCTTTACTTCCTCCCAGGACACCTTGTCCAGTTTGTCCACTGACGAGCAGATGGTGTGGAACTGGCTGCCAGGAACCCCACAGATCGCAGACATCCCATCTGGGATGCACCCATGGTTCACCTTGACCAGGAAGTCACCTGTCTCTGTGAATTCAGGATCTGACACATGATCTTCAGGCACTCTGCATCAGGGGTCCTGGGGTCACATAGCCCAGCAATGTCAAAGTCACACTGGTAGAATTCCCGATCTCGGCCCCGGGCCATGGCTGGGTTATCCTGCCGATTTACTTGTGCTGTGTGGTAGTGCTTATTGTTGGTCAGTTTATTCATTGCCAATTATTGAGCAAAAGGAACAGTGAGATCATAGTGAAGGGACAGCCACTCCCCACCCTGGCCCTTCAGGTCTTGAATAAGCTTTAGAGCAGTGGTTCTCAAACTTGGCTGCACATTAGAATCACCTGGGAATCTTTTTAAAATCCTGGTTTCTGGGCCTCATCCTCTGGAAATTCTGTTTCTTTGTTATGGGGCGGGGGCCACAACATCAGTAACAAAGAAACAGAATTTCCGGAGGATGAGGCCCAGAAATCAGGATTTTAAAGATTCCCAGGTGATTCTAATGTGCAGCCAAGGTTGAGAACCACAGCTTTAAAGTCTTCCCCATACTTTGCAGTCAGTGTTTCCTTTAGTTCAGACACAGGTGTAGCAATTACTTGTGCACCTTGGCGCTTGAAGCAGCTGATGATTATATCAAACACTTTCTCCCGAACTGCCATCTGCCTGGGATTGTGGTCTCTTGCGCCGTTGGGGATTTTGAGCACAAACTTGTGTTTCCCTTCTTCAGGCCCCCGCTGTGTGGCTGTGCCTTCATTTTCAGTAGTTTTGCCAACTCCTCCTCGATCTGCTCAGTGCCAGCCTTCTGCTGTTTCAGTTCCCGCACATGCTCTCCCTGAAGTCGCACCAGCTCCTCAGCGCACCCTTTGCCATACTGGCTGCAAACTGGAGAGCGCAAATTCGTGGCCTAACTTTAAGCCTCTTGGTCCCCATCTGTCAGATGGATGCAAAAACTTCTAAGTCCTGGTCTGTTGTGAGGACGAAAAGAGGTCCTGCATGCATGTAAAGCTTCAGGCAGCTGGCCGGTGTTGCTCAGTGGTTGAGTGTCGACCTAGGAACCACTAGGTCACAGTTCGATTCCTGGTCAGGCCACATGGAGGTTTGGGGCTCGATCCCCAGTGGGGGGCAGGCAGGAGGCAGCCGATCAATGATTCTTTCTCATCATTGATGTTTCTCTCTCTCTCTCCCTCTCCCTTTCTCTCTGAAATCAATAAAAAACATATTGAAAGCTTCAGGCAGGTAGTAAGGCTCTGTAAAGAACAGATAAGAATGTCATTATGGTACTTGAGACTACTGGTAGGTAGCACTGGGCCTGCTGGGCCTTCTCGGGCGCTGAAGCAGTGCTCCAGGAGTCCACTGGGTGGCACTAGTGAACCTCAGTTGGCAAGGAAGGGAAGGTGAGTGGGAGAGGCCAAAGGGAGTTGTTCCTGGTCTCAATCCAGAAAACCACAGGGTTCCTTCCTTTGTTTTTAAGCACTTCTTTTTTTTTGTGGTTTTGATTTCGTTATATCCAAGATCAAACCAATTCAAAACGTTGGTTATTCTATATTGTTGCCATAGTTAACAAATGCAGTGTTACATCTCAGAAACCTCAATAGGTCGGAGAGAGGTTTTTATTTGGAATGCTAGTTAAATTTTTATTCCACAAAGGATGCAAAGTGTATACTCGCCCTGAAAGTCTATAAGCACTCAGTGATCCCTCGGGATGCTTTCAGGGGTGGTGGGCAAGGTTTCTGAACTCCCCCAGGAGTCGTTGGGTGCCGAAGCCTCACCCAAACAGAATGGCTAGTTTCGTTGTCGAGGTTTTCATTCTTGTTCTTGGCTATGTTGAAATTCTGTGGATTACTGAGGCCCACGTGTGGAAATCTGCTCATTTGCATGTTGGCGCTGTGGACAGCAGTGGCCACGCACGCGACTGTGATAACCAGATGGCTCAGAACATCCATCTCAAACCCTTTATAGCAAGTTGTTATCTTATGTTGTTTGTTTTTATCGGCTCCTGGCCTCACTGACACCTGATTTGCTGATACATTAGAAATACAAAAGGGCTTGTGACATTTTTTGGCAGTACAGGGATCATCAGCACTTACTGTCCCAATCTCCTCATTAAATAGGAAAAAAAATCTGTCCGCTAAAAACACCCCCTCCCCCCTTTAACTTACCAATATTTTATGCCCTCCTGAAGCCAGAATACCTGGTTAATTGGCTGAGTTTTATATCTTTATCAGGATGTTTTAGTATCTTATCATCTTTACATTGCAGTGGCTTCTCTTAAGCTCGGGAAACGCAGCAATGAAAGGCTCAAGTCAGTGATGGGTGGGCAGGCTAAATAGCCATCTCAGACGGTGATTACAGAAAATGGAATTTATTTACGGAAAAGAGGGTGGGGATATCCAAAGCGAAGAGTTGCCAGCACCGAACCCAGGGGGTATTGGATCGGTGATGGCAGCATAAATATACTCAGGACAGTGACACAAGGAAGGGTGCAAAGCAGCAGCAGGAGAGCCTGGCTGGGCTGCCTTGGCTCTCTGGGAAGTCAGAGAAAAGGGGGCCTTGGAGGCAGGTGCAGGGGGTGAGCCCAGGATGAGCTGCCACTGCCCATTGCTCCCCTGGTTGCAAGTCTCGTGGGGTCCCTTAGAGGTTAGGGGACATATACATGTGGGGGAAGGAGAAGGGGTAGGGAATGGCATGGGCCTGCTCCTTGTGGGGAGAGCGTGCATTGGGGCCTTTGTCCTGAGCACATTTATCTCTGTTTTGCAGGTGGGAATCTTAGGGGAGGCCTCAGGGGAGGGTCTTCATAGAATATGTCCTGTGGCAGCCATGGTGCCACTTGTCTGGTTTTGCTGCTTTTCTGGGCCTGGAGCTGAAATACAACTGAGGCCTAGATGTTATCTCTGGGGAGGAAAAGGTCAGGGGGTCTACACCACTTGACCAGTGATGAAAGATCAGAGGTCCAAACCGCATGACCAGTGACATGCGAGGGGAGGATGGGTTACCCTGGGGGGAAGTTCTTGTTTTCCCAGCTTTGCCCCTTGCTAGGCATCCGGGGTTTCCTGCCCTGGTGAGTTTCTTTTTTATTTTTTTAATATTTTTTTTATTAATTAAATTTTTATTGTTCAGATTATTACATTTGTTCCTCTTTTTTCCCCTCCACTCAGTTCCCACCCCACCCTCCTCCCTCACTCCCCATCCACTGTCCTCATCCATAGGCCTGGTGAGTTTTTGTACCTAGACCATCATCTTGCTCTGCTCATGTCTAACAACTCCCAGGAATTCCTTTTCCCCCCAAGTTTCTTTTTCTTTTCTTTTTTTTAAATAGAAAAGTGATTTTATTTCAACACTTGCCCCATTTTTTCCATTAATGAATCTCTGAGTTTGTTTAATTCTTTGTTTTGTCAGGTTTCTTATAGGCAACATGAGATTTGGAAGATGGACCAGAAAAGGAAGCCTCAGGAACTTTTTATCTGCAAAGCACCATTTCACCTGGTCATTGGGTATCGCCTTAATGAGACCTTGAACTTAGTCTCTGGAAGCAACTTCTCCACAGCCAGCCACTCTGGAGCTCACCCTAATCCAGGAACAAAGAGAATGTAAAATTTTGGAAAACTTGAGGAAGAAAACACCTTTATAATATCAATATATATTTTTTCTTTTTTGGCACCTCCTGCTCACACCATCCCACCAGCTCCCCAACCCAAACGGATATCATTACAAAGGGTGCTTACTATAACTCAACTCAGGCAGGTGAGACATGTGGTAATATTCTTTTTTGGAGTAGTGTGGACTCTGAAATTCTTACCAAGTGCTTGAAACACTTTTAGCAATTAAATAGTGGTGCACTTAAACGTGCACCGATTTAGTTTAGCTTTTATCGGGCTGACATTAATAACGAAGAGAGGTTCGCGATCTTTCAGCCTCCACACAGACACACGTGCCGCTGGGTACAATCTGTCTTTTCATGTGGGATTTCATTTCTGCATCTCACCTTACTAACCTCTCTGGTTAGTGGCCCGTTACACCGTCAAACCAGTCATGTTGCCTGGTCCTGGAGTGATGAGAAAGGAATGTCATCCTCTCCCCACCACAGGGTTGATAGGCTCGCTCACAGGTGATCTCCTCACCTTACCGGGCAAGTTCGACTGGATCCATTGTCAGAGTTGCTGTCAGAATCACCGGCCCAAGCACTATCTGTCTTGGCTTTCACCCTGGGATCATTTACTTTGGGGGTGGGGGTGGGGGTGGGGAACGCTGCTCAGAAACAGCCTCAGCAGGACCACAGGAACGGTCATCTCTTCTTGAAGAAGACGCGCCCTCGGGGATAATGGGTCACATTGGCTCTTGATAATTGGGGAAGTGTTTGTTTGTGTTTTGTGTGTATAGGTGTTGTCGCTCTTCCGGAATCATGCCTGTGGTGATTAGCCTTTCGGATATGTTTTGTTAACTTATTTGAAGACACTATAAATTACCATTAGTCTTCTGCCCTCATTAGCTGGAGCGTTAAAATGAACCTCAATGAATTAAGACACACTTTATTGTTTTGCCTGTGAAGAACAAATTTACTTTATAGGGAATAACATTTTTAACTGTCCGGGATCCTGTGGAATTCAAATCAGTGTCACTTTAATGAGTTTTGTTTATTTAAAAAAAAATTGTACTATATTTTAGGAAACACGTGGAGTTTTAACATTCAGAAGTGTAAACTACTTAAAAGGACTTGAATTTTTTAAATGTTTATTATTTTTTTTATAAGTTGTTTTTCCAAGAAAAGCATAATGGCAGAGGTGCTTTGTATATCAGCTGGTTTCCTAGCCATTTTCAACCTTTTTCATACTATGGATGAAGGGAAGAAAAATAAACCTACATGTATGTGTACAGTGCACACGGGCTCCCTGTGTTCTTACTAACACGTGGTTTCTCATGGCATCGTGCTCCTCGGTTGCTATTGCTGTGACTGGATGTTGGCTGGTCTTGCGCCCAGCGGTCCAGGTCTTGGACAGAGGCTGAGTGAGTGTACCCACCTCCTCCCAACCCCCTTGACCTATTGCACCCAGAGTTTGCACAGGTCTCACTCCAAGGATGCTTTAATTTTTTAAAAAATGATTTTTTAAAATACATTTTATTGATTTTTTACAGAGAGAGAGAGGGATAGAGAGTTAGAAACATCCATGAGAGAGAAACATCGATCAGCTGCCTCTTGCACACCCCCTACTGGGGAGGTGCCCGCAACCAAGGTACATGCTCTTGACTGGAATCAAACCTGGGGCCCCTCGGTCCGCAGGCCGATGCTCTGTCCACTGAACCAAACCAGTCAGGGCTCCAGGGATGCTGTAGAGCAGTGGTTCTCAACCTTCCTAATGCCGCGACCCTTTAATACAGTTCCTCATGTTGTGGTGACCCCCAACCATAAAATTATTTTCATAACTAATTTTGCTACTGTTATGAATTGTAATGTAAATATCTGATATACAGGATGTATTTTCATTATTACAAATTGAACATAATTAAAGCATAGTGATTAATCACAAAAACAATATGTAATTATATATGTGTTTTCCGATGGTCTTAGGCGACCCCTGTGAAAGGGTTGTTTGACCCCCAAAGGGTTGGCGACCCACAGGTTGAGAACCGCTGCTTTAGAGCTTCCCCTCCACCCCTGGCCATGGGAAGGTGTGCTTTTATTTGAAACCAGGTAGATCTGGGTTAGTCCCTCACCTGTGCGGCTCTCTAATGCATTGTTCTGCATTTGGAACTCATGTTATTTCACTGTATTGCTTTAGGGCAAAAGTTTCCTCCCCAGCTTTGTCATGTGGAAACACACTTTCACTCCGTTTTCTAAAGAAGCCACTGTAGTTGCCAATGTCGAAATGTGCTGTCATGAGGCGGTGCTTCCAGCAGCCGTCACAAGGCCCTGTGTGAATCAGAGCACTGCTGGCTGAAGGGCAGGTCCCAGCCGGGTAGCCTGGACGTGGCTGCTGGCATTGCTCTTTTCCATTCAGTGTGAGCATGTCTGATAATGGCCCTGTGGCTGCTGGAACTAAAATAGAGGCCCAGGGGTTGAATTCTGAGCTCAGGTCCCAAAGTTCTTCCTGCTTCTCCGCTGAGACCTCCCTCTCTGCGGTGGGGCCTCCCAGGGACTGAGATCCAGTCTGTCCCCACCACGGTGTCCATCACAGTCTCTCCCAGTGGGACAGCCTGCAGGTGGCCAGCCATCGTCCTTCCGTGGAAGCCCATCCCTGCTGCTCGCTGTGACCTCTGGCCTGAGCCCCACCTATAGACAGGGCCCGCGCTCTGCAGTGACAGCAGTGTTTTATTGTCAAGCGAGTTGGAAAATCGAAAGGATGGTTTTGTTCCTTAAGAAAACCTAATGGCAGGGAGGAGCTTGGAGGAGTTCAGTGAGTGTGGAACTTCTCCTTGGCTGTAGAGGCCGATTGTGAAGGGAAATCTCACCCGGACCCTGCACTGGCCAAGCATTCAAAAGTGGTGCTGCTCTGGCCGGGGGCACTACCGGGGCTACTGTGGGGTTACCAGGGAGGCCTGCCGACCCTGACCTACTCTTGTCGGGCGGTGTGGGGACCAGCCGATGAGATGGCTACTAGCATCTCTCCAACGATCGTCCGGGAGTTTGTTTCTAACACATCTGCCACGGGAAGCGATCATGTCCCAGTTCACCAGTGTGGCGTGCTGGCACGTGGCTTCCGAAGGATAGTAACCACGTCATCCCAAACGGTGGATTGTTTAAATCAACGGGCTTATGAATTTGGGAGACTCCTGTCTGTGAGTCACTCGTGGGTCATTCCAGTTTATGGAGGAATCTCTAAAGAAAAGAAGGTATGTGATGGGGTCTAGCTTCACCAACGATTTCTATCAAATGGGGCAAGAATCTGAAAAACGAGTAATTTGCCACACAGATGAGGACATGTGTTGGCCAAACACATTTCCCTCGCTGTTCACGGGGATCTGAATTGGGATCTGGTGGGAGGGTTCACATGATGGCGGGGCGGGGGGAGGCGGGGGGAAGGGTGAGGGGAGGGGGGGTACTCTGAATAGTTTGTTCCCAAGGGCACAATATGATTATCAGAGTACTAAAATGATGCGATTCCATCAGGTGCATCTTTTAAAATTCACATGGTTTAGAGAATTAACAAGATGGAATTTAATATTTGGGTCATTAAGAGCACCTCTCTTAAGCCAAAGCAAGGCAATTATCCATGTGGTTCAGGCAGAAGTTCTATATAATTTAAAGCAAATGGAGAATTTTTCTCATTGTAATTTAGAAACAGCTTCCCCCTGCGGGCCCAAAGGGTCATGAAAATTAGAATAATTTAACTAGAAGGCCTCTTAATGATGCTTCTCCCAGTTGGAGGGTATTATTATGTATTTGTCTAGTGCACAGTATGTTATAGAGCTGTGGCTAGCAGGGAAAAACATGCTCCTGTGTTTTAGGTTCAGATGGTGAACAAAAATAAAGTGACTCACTTGAGGACTTCAGCATTAAAATGTATCTGGCCTAACCAGGCTCCCTTAAAGCAGGTGATTAAAGTCATTAGGAAATGGGTAAGAACATTGCCACAATCGTTCCTAGGTAATTCTGTTCAGATTCCATCGGTGTTTTCAGTTTCCCCACAACGTGTATTTTTGACACTGAAAGTACTCCAATTACATTAGAGAAATATGAAAATTACTTTAATTCCATCATCTTATTTTTAGAACAACATCAGGTATTTCTCAAATCCATTTGAAAATAAATATTTTAATAAATATGACATAAATAAATATAAGTTAGCTCACATGCCTTCACGAACACACCCTTCTATAAATAAATATTTTAAAATAAATTATGCTTGAGTGTTTCAACAAACACTTTGATATAGAAATAGCTTATAAATTCCTGTTTTTCTAAAAATCACACACAGTGAAGAAAACTTCCCCCTTTAGCAATTTGCTTATGAAAGCTTTAAAAACAACTTATCCCTAGTAAATGTGGAATATACGCGAGGAAAGGACCCATTTAAGTAAAGTAGTTACATGTTCAACTTTTGGGTGGTTGACTAATGTAAACAACAAGAAAATTACTAGCTTAAGTAGGACCAGGTCAAGCCACCACCTCCCGCACAGCCTATAAAAATCGCTTTGGTTCAAATGACTTTAAGGTTGGGCCTGAGCCTTTTTAGGAAGAATTCAGATAGCTCATCATCCTGTTGATAGTCACTGCGCGGACTCTGAAAGCGTGAAGGAGGATGCAGAGCTTGACTTTCGTCTTGTAAAGATCCAGTTCTTCCAGGGCGGGTTGCTGTGGCACAGCCGCACTGTTGAAATCCAGGGCCTAGGAGGACGGATAATGAGCATGGCATACATGGTATTCCAAAATTGAAGCATTCACCCATAAACATGGGGAAAGCCAACACGTGTCTCAGAGCCTGCAACCCACCCCCTCATTGCATCTCCTAAACCCAATCCACTCTCCCAGCCAGATGGCCAGGCAGAACCTGAAAGAAGAAATTCCCATGATCCAAGCACATATATCTTCACTGAGCTTGGAAGAGACCCTGAAAGCGGTTTCAAATGCCATCAGTATTTTAAAAAATATATTTTTCTTGACTTCAGAGAGGAAGAGTGAGGGAGAGAGAGACAGAAACAGCAATGATGAGAGAGAATCATTGGTCGGCTGTTTCCTGCACACCCCCTACTGGGGATCGAGTCCACAACCCGGGCATGTGCTTTTGTCTGGAATCGAATCTGGGATCCTTCAGCCTGCAGGCCAACGCTCTATTCACTGAGCCAAACCAGCTAGGGCTGAAGTCTTTTTTAGAACAGGGAGGCGATGGATTGCTATTGATCAAAACTCTCCATCGGTACCAAGGTGTTTACTGCAGAAACTCGTTTGTGTCAGATAAATAAACTTGGCAATGGACTTCCCAGGGTTAGCCCTTTGATTTGATAACTCAAAGCAAGACCTTATGTTTGCACAATGATCGGTAATCTCAGTTATTCTCACAAAAAGCCTAAAAGAAAGGAAGGGTGGGTCAAGTTCTCCCATTTTACATAAGGAGAAACTGAGGCACAGAGGTACCAATGGCTTTGTCATAGTTGTCTGATTACTGGTAGAAATAACTCCAGTGCCTCCTCTTTGTCTGAACATGAAATTATCTATAATTCTGAAGATGGTAAGATTCTTTGATGCTATATGATGTTCAGTGCCTATCAAACAATTTGGTGAAAGAAAGAAAGAGAGAAAGATTCCTTTTCAGACAATGATTTCTGACACTGTATTTTTATCGCATGCCTGGTCACCAAAGCATTGACCTTGCTGTTTCTTATGTGAATACTAGAGGCCTGGTGCATGAGATCTGTGCACTCGGGGGGTCAGGGGTGGAGGGTGGAGTACCTCAGCCCAGCCTGCCCACCTGTCGCAGTCCAGATACCCTCGGGGGATGTCCGACTGATGGCTCAGGCCCCCTCCCTCTGGGGAGTGGGCCCAAGCCTCCTTAGCGCTGCTGCAGAGGCTGGAGAGGCTACCAACACCGCTGCTGTGCTTGCCAGCCGTGAGCCCTGTGGGAGTGCACTGACTACCAGGGGGAAGCTCCTGTGTTCAGTGGCTGCCCCCTGGTGGTCAGTGCATGTCATAGTGACCAGTTGTTCTACCGCTTGTTCAATTTGCATATTACCCTTTTATTATATAGGATTTCTATGTTTTGTATTAGCATTATGTGCTATGATGATTTAGAAACTATAAGCCAAGTTCTTGTCTCTGAGTAACATTGTGGCTCTCCCCAGGTGCCAGGCCATTCTTTTATTTCATTCACACTTTGGTTCAGAATGGGTCAGACCCAGGCACTAGCTCTGCTTGTTTTCTCTGGTTAAATTTGCAGATGTGTAGGC